CGATGACACAGTAGGACACTGGACCGATGACACAGTAGGACACTGGACCGTTGACACAGTAGAACACTGGACCGTTGACACAGTAGGACACTGGACCGTTGACACAGTAGGACACTGGACCGATGACACAGTAGGACACTGGACCGTTGACACAGTAGGACACTGGACCGTTGACACAGTTGGACACAGTAGGACACTGGACCGTTGACACAGTAGGACACTGGACCGTTGACACAGTAGGACACTGGACCGTTGACACTGTAGGACACAGTAGGACATAGTAGGACACAGTAGTACACTGGACCGTTGACAAGGTAGGACACTGGACCGTTGACACAGAAGGACATTGGACCGTTGACACAGTAGGACACTGGACCGTTGACACAGTAGGACACAGTAGGACACTGGACCGTTGACACAGTAGGACACTGGACCGTTGACACAGTAGGACATTGGACCGTTGACACAGTAGGACACTGGACCGTTGACACAGTAGGACACAGTAGGACACTGGACCGTTGACACAGTAGGACACTGGACCGTTGACACAGTAGGACATTGGACCGTTGACACAGTAGGACACTGGACCGTTGACACAGTAGGACACTGGACCGTTGACACAGTAGGACACTGGACCGTTGACACAGTAGGACACTGGACCGTTGACACAGTAGGACACTGGACCGTTGACACAGTAGGACACTGGACCGTTGACAGTAGGACACTGGACCGATGACACAGTAGGACACAGTAGGACACTGGACCGTTGACACAGTAGGTCACTGGACCGTTGACACATTAGGACACTGGACCGTTGGCACAGTAGGACATAGTAGGACACTGCACCGTTGACACAGTAGGACATAGTAGGACACTGGACCGTTGACACAGTAGGACACTGGACCGTTGACACAGTAGGACACTGGACCGTTGACACAGTAGGACATAGTAGAACACAGGACCGTTGACACAGTAGGACACTGGACCGTTGACACAGTAGGACACTGGACCGTTGACACAGTAGAACACAGGACCGTTGACACAGTAGGACACTGGACCGTTGACACAGTAGAACACAGGACCGTTGACACAGTAGGACACAGTAGGACACTGGACCGTTGACACAGTAGGACACTGGACTGTTGACACAGTAGGACACAGTAGGACACTGGACCGTTGACACTGTAGGACATTGGACCGTTGACACAGTAGGACACTGGACAATTGACACAGTAGGACACAGTAGGACACTGGACCGTTGACACAGTAGGACACTGGACCGTTGACACAGTAGGACGCTGGACCGTTGACACAGTAGGACGCTGGACCGTTGACACAGTAGGACACTGGACCGATGACACAGTAGGACACTGGACCGATGACACAGTAGGACACTGGACCGATGACACAGTAGGACACTGGACCGTTGACACAGTAGAACACTGGATCGTTGACACAGTAGGACACTGGACCGTTGACACAGTAGGACACTGGACCGATGACACAGTAGGACACTGGACCGTTGACACAGTAGGACACTGGACCGTTGACACAGTTGGACACAGTAGGACACTGGACCGTTGACACAGTAGGACACTGGACCGATGACACAGTAGGACACTGGACCGTTGACACAGTAGGACACTGGACCGTTGACACTGTAGGACACAGTAGGACATAGTAGGACACAGTAGTACACTGGACCGTTGACAAGGTAGGACACTGGACCGTTGACACAGAAGGACATTGGACCGTTGACACAGTAGGACACTGGACCGTTGACACAGTAGGACACAGTAGGACACTGGACCGTTGACACAGTAGGACACTGGACCGTTGACACAGTAGGACATTGGACCGTTGACACAGTAGGACACTGGACCGTTGACACAGTAGGACACAGTAGGACACTGGACCGTTGACACAGTAGGACACTGGACCGTTGACACAGTAGGACATTGGACCGTTGACACAGTAGGACACTGGACCGTTGACACAGTAGGACACTGGACCGTTGACACAGTAGGACACTGGACCATTGACACAGTAGGACACTGGACCGTTGACACAGTAGGACACTGGACCGTTGACACAGTAGGACACTGGACCGTTGACACAGTAGGACACTGGACCGTTGACAGTAGGACACTGGACCGTGGACACAGTAGGACACTGGACCGTTGACACAGTAGGACACTGGACCGTTGACACAGTAGGACACTGGACCGTTGACACAGTAGGACACTGGACCGATGACACAGTAGGACACTGGACCGTTGACACAGTAGAACACTGGACCGTTGACACAGTAGGACACAGTAGGACACTGGACCGTTGACACAGTAGGACACTGGACCGTTGACAGTAGGACACTGGACCGATGACACAGTAGGACACAGTAGGACACTGGACCGTTGACACAGTAGGACACTGGACCGTTGACACAGTAGGACACTGGACCGTTGACACAGTAGGACACTGGACCGATGACACAGTAGGACACAGTAGGACACTGGACCGTTGACACAGTAGGACACTGGACCGTTGACACATTAGGACACTGGACCGTTGGCACAGTAGGACATAGTAGGACACTGCACCGTTGACACAGTAGGACATAGTAGGACACTGGACCGTTGACACAGTAGGACACTGGACCGTTGACACAGTAGAACACAGGACCGTTGACACAGTAGGACACTGGACCGTTGACACAGTAGAACACAGGACCGTTGACACAGTAGGACACAGTAGGACACTGGACCGTTGACACAGTAGGACACTGGACTGTTGACACAGTAGGACACAGTAGGACACTGGACCGTTGACACTGTAGGACATTGGACCGTTGACACAGTAGGACACTGGACAATTGACACAGTAGGACACAGTAGGACACTGGACCGTTGACACAGTAGGACACTGGACCGTTGACACAGTAGGACGCTGGACCGTTGACACAGTAGGACACTGGACCGTTGACACAGTAGGACACTGGACCGATGACACAGTAGGACACTGGACCGTTGACACAGTAGGACACTGGACCGTTGACACAGTAGGACACTGGACCGTTGACACAGTAGGACACTGGACCGTTGACATAGTAGAACACTGGACCGTTGACACAGTAGGACACTGGACCGTTGACACAGTAGGACACAGTAGGACATAGTAGGACACTGGACCGTTGACACAGTAGGACACTGGACCGTTGACACAGTAGGACACTGGACCGTTGACACAGTTGGACACAGTAGGACACTGGACCGTTGACACAGTTGGACACAGTAGGACACTGGACCGTTGACACAGTTGGACACAGTAGGACACTGGACCGTTGACATAGTAGAACACTGGACCGTTGACACAGTAGGACACTGGACCGTTGACACAGTAGGACACAGTAGGACATAGTAGGACACTGGACCGTTGACACAGTAGGACACTGGACCGTTGACACAGTAGGACACTGGACCGTTGACACAGTTGGACACAGTAGGACACAGGACCGTTGACACAGTAGGACACTGGACCGTTGACACAGTAGGACACTGGACCGTTGACACAGTTGGACACAGTAGGACACTGGACCGTTGACACAGTAGTACACTCGACCGTTGACACAGTAGGACACTGGACCGTTGACACAGTAGGACATAGTAGGACACAGTAGGACACTGGACCGTTGACAAGGTAGGACACTGGACCGTTGACACAGAAGGACATTGGACCGTTGACACAGTAGGACACTGGACCGTTGATACAGTAGGACACAGTAGGACACTGGACCGTTGACACAGTAGGACATTGGACCGTTGACACAGTAGGACACTGGACCGTTGACACAGTAGGACATAGTAGGACATAGTAGGACACAGTAGGACACTGGACCGTTGACAAGGTAGGACACTGGACCGTTGACACAGTAGGACACTGGACCGTTGACACAGTAGGACACTGGACCGTTGACACAGTAGGACACTGGACCGTTGACACAGTAGGACACTGGACCGTTGACACAGTAGGACACTGGACCGTTGACACAGTAGGACACTGGACCGTTGACACAGTAGGACACTCGACCGTTGACACAGTAGGACACTGGACCGTTGACACAGTAGGACACTGGACCGCTGACACAGTAGGACACTGGACCGTTGACACAGTAGGACACTGGACCGTTGACACAGTAGGACACTGGACCGTTGACACAGTAGGACACTGGACCGTTGACACAGTAGGACACTGGACCGTTGACACAGTAGGACACTGGACCGTTGACACAGTAGGACACTCGACCGTTGACACAGTAGGACACTGGACCGTTGACACAGTAGGACACTGGACCGCTGACACAGTAGGACACTGGACCGTTGACACAGTAGGACACTGGACCGTTGACACAGTAGGACACTGGACCGTTGACACAGTAGGACACTGGACCGTTGACACAGTAGGACACAGTAGTACACTGGACCGTTGAAAAAGTAGGACACAGTAGGACACTGGACCGTTGACACAGTAGGACACTGGACCGTTGACACAGTAGGACACTGGACCGTTGACACAGTAGGACATTGGACCGTTGACACAGTAGGACACTGGACCGTTGACACAGTAGGACACTGGACCGTTGACACAGTAGGACACTGGACCGTTGACACAGTAGGACACTGGACCGATGACACAGTAGGACACTGGACCGTTGACACAGTAGGACACTGGACCGATGACACAGTAGGACACAGGACCGTTGACACAGTAGGTCACTGGACCGTTGACACATTAGGACACTGGACCGTTGGCACAGTAGGACATAGTAGGACACTGCAATGTTGACACAGTAGGACATTGGACCGTTGACACAGTAGGACACTGGACCGTTGACACAGTAGGACACTGGACCGTTGACAGGGTAGGACATTTTGACCGTTGAAACAGTAGGACAAATGTGTAGTGTAGTGTGTTTACTAGGTGGTGGAAAAAAAACACCTTACCGTGCCCTCCGCTAAATGCCACCTTTCTCTTGTACGTCACAGGCCGGTCACCTACAGGCTCACAAACCATGTATGGAGACAGGTTTTCACATTGCACTTTTCTAGACAGCTCTAGATAAGAGAATATCATTCATCAACGCAACACAAAACACTACACAACAACACACTACATATCAACAAACTACATAACACACTACACCACAACACACTACATATCAACATGCTACACAGCAACACACTGCACAACACACTACACATCAACACACTACACAACACACTACACAACACACTACACATCAACAAACTACACCAAACACATCACACTACAAACCTATAAATATACTTCACACTCGCTTGAAAAAATGTTGTTTTTTGCAACGTCCGTTGCACCAAGTGGTAGAGTGTTGTGGAGTGTTGAAGTGTGTGGTGGAGTGTTGTAGTGTTTGGTGGAATGTTGGAGTGTGTGGTGAAGTGTGTGATGGAATATTGTAGTTTGTGGTGGAGTGTTGTATTGTGTGGTGGAGTGGTGGAATGTTGTGTGGGGTGAAGTGTGTGATGGAATATTGTAGTATGTGGTGGAGAGTTGTGTGGTGGAGTGGTGGAATGTTGTGTGGGGTGAAGTGTGTGATGGAATATTGTAGTATGTGGTGGAGAGTTGTGTGGTGGAGTGGTGGAATGTTGTTGTGTGTGGTGGATGTGCTCAGGACGGTCGCCTAGGGCGCTATCCATAAGGGGGCACAAAAATGTATAATCTCCATTAGTAAAAAGTACATAATAATTAGTAAATTTGATTACACTATATAAACTTTAGACAGGATAATATACAAAGGCGTGGCAATCTATTTCGGTACCCATGACGAACTTTAAATTTTTGCGACCCTTCTTCAAATTAGGCCTATATATAAGAGAGGTCGGGGCGCTTTTTACCAGTCAATTTGACTTTTTATTTTGCTGTCATACAACTAATGTAGAAAACAATTAAATTAGTCCGTATAACAAGTAGCAGTCAACATTGTTTATTTCGAATGTATATAATTCAGTATTGAGCTAATTATATTATTAGCAATCGCGTTTGGTGCCCCCTCTGTGACGACGCCGGTGCAATTTTCATTTTTAAATTTTAAAATCTCGTAAGACAGGGAGAGATTTAGATTTTAAAACCAAATTAATTGTTGGCACCACAAAATCCTAAACAGAATTTTAAAGTTCTTAAAGTAATATTCTAATACACACATAGGCCTACACACACACACACATATATATATATATATATATATATATATATATATATGTATATATATATATATATATATATATGGGGTCTGAAAGAAAAAAAATTGCCTAGGGCGCCAAATAACTTGGTGCCAGCACTGGGTGTGCTGAGTGTGGTGGAGAGGTGGAGTGGTGGAATGTTGTTGAGTGTGGTGGAATGTTGTTGAGTGTGGTGGAGTGGTGGAATGTTTTTGAGTGTGGTGGAGTGGTGGAATGTTGTTGAGTGTGGTGGAATGTTGTTGAGTGTGGTGGAGTGGTGGAATGTTTTTGAGTGTGGTGGAGTGGTGGAATGTTGTTGAGTGTGGTGGAGTGGTGGAATGTTGTTGAGTGTGGTGGAGTGGTGGAATGTTGTTGAGTGTGGTGGAGTGGTGGAATGTTGTTGAGTGTGGTGGAGTGGTGGAATGTTGTTGAGTGTGGTGGAGTGGTGGAATGTTGTTGAGTGTGGTGGAGTGGTGGAATGTTGTTGAGTGTGGTGGAGTGTGGTGGAGTGGTGGAATGTTTTTGAGTGTGGTGGAGTGGTGGAATGTTGTTGAGTGTGGTGGAATGTTGTTGAGTGTGGTGGAGTGGTGGAATGTTTTTGAGTGTGGTGGAGTGGTGGAATGTTGTTGAGTGTGGTGGAGTGGTGGAATGTTGTTGAGTGTGGTGGAGTGGTGGAATGTTGTTGAGTGTGGTGGAGTGGTGGAATGTTGTTGAGTGTGGTGGAGTGGTGGAATGTTGTTGAGTGTGGTGGAGTGGTGGAATGTTGTTGAGTGTGGTGGAGTGGTGGAATGTTGTTGAGTGTGGTGGAGTGGTGGAATGTTGTTGAGTGTGGTGGAGTGGTGGAATGTTGTTGAGTGTGGTGGAGTGGTGGAATGTTGTTGAGTGTGGTGGAGTGGTGGAATGTTGTTGAGTGTGGTGGAGTGTTGTTGAGTGTGGTGGAGTGGTGGAATGTTGTTGAGTGTGGTGGAGTGTGGTGGAGAGTGTGGTGGATAGTGGTTGAGTGGTGGAATGTTGAGTGTGGTGGAGTGTGTTGGTAAACAAGGCAGGCTACAGGTGTCCATGTCAACACGCAGATTGTAGGTTTCACTTCCCATGACCTAGAAATTTTTTTTAATGATCTCAGGGCAGTTTGGTTAAGGTCATCCTGGGACGTTGTCCTGTTTCTTTTAGAACTTTATCTAGCTAGTGGCTGTAATTACAGGTAGAATGGCATGTGCAGGTCACCAGACATAAGTCACCTTACATAGGTCATCTTACCTTTCAGCCTGTCTTAATCAGCATTTCATTAGATGAGTCAGTCAAATGATCTCTTCTGATTTCAATAGATCTAATTGGGTGCTGCCCCCATAACCTGGAGTCACATCACTCAAACTTTGATTGTAAACATAAGTCATGTCAGACCACCACACAGAGAAATTCAAATTTGTTCAAGGTTTGTCAATTCTTGTACCTTTATCTTGTATCTTTGTTTACCTTGTATCTTTGTTTACCTTGTATCTTTGTTTACCTTGTATCTTTGTTTACCTTGTATCTTTGTGTATCTTTTATCTTTGTTTATCTTGTATCTTTGTTTATCTTGTATCTTTGTTTATCTTGTATCTTTGTTTACCTTGTATCTTTGTTTATCTTGTATCTTTGTTTATCTTGTATCTTTGTGTATCTTGTATCTTTGTGTGTCTTGTATCTTTGTGTGTCTTGTATCTTTGTGTATCTTGTATCTTTGTTTACCTTGTATCTTTGTTTACCTTGTATCTTTGTTTACCTTGTATCTTTGTTTATCTGTTAGATTTCAGACTTATTTCCTGTTCTGATAACTAGAATGACCTTGACCTTGATCATATTTTGCTAATCAAATATTGTTTTCTTAATCTTAGACAATATTGGAGAGATCTTAAACTTATAAAGTTTGTGTTTCTTAGTCATTTGACTTTATGTAGCTACCAGTGACTTGATGTAGCTACTAGTGACTTGATGTAGCTACCAGTGACTTGATGTAGCTACCATTGACTTGATGTAGCTACCATTGACTTGATGTAGCCACTAGTGACTTGATGTAGCTACCATTGACTTGATGTAGCTACCAATGACTTGATGTAGCTACCAGTGACTTGATGTAGCTACCAGTGACTTGATGTAGCTACCAGTGACTTGATGTAGCTACCATTGACTTGATGTAGCTACCAGTGACTTGATGTAGCTACCAGTGACTTGATGTAGCTACCAGTGACTTGATGTAGCTACCATTGACTTGATGTAGCTACCAGTGACTTGATGTAGCTACCATTGACATGATGTAGCTACCATTGACTTGATGTAGCTACCATTGACTTGATGTAGCTACTAGTGACTTGATGTAGCTACCATTGACTTGATGTAGCTACCAGTGACTTGATGTAGCTACCAGTGACTTGATGTAGCTACCATTGACTTGATGTAGCTACCATTGACTTGATGTAGCTACCATTGACTTGATGTAGCTACCAGTGACTTGATGTAGCTACTAGTGACTTGATGTAGCTACTAGTGACTTGATATAGCTACCAGTGACTTGATGTAGCTACAAGTGACTTGATGTAGCTACTAGTGACTTGATGTAGCTACCAGTGACTTGATGTAGCTACCAGTGACTTGATGTAGCTACCAGTGACTTGATGTAGCTACCATTGACTTGATGTAGCTACCAGTGACTTGATATAGCTACCAGTGACTTGATGTAGCTACTAGTGACTTGATGTAGCTACCAGTGACTTGATGTAGCTACCATTATCTCTACCAGATTTTCTACTGTTGTAGGTGGCCCCATGATACCACCTGCTCACAACTTAGTGCACAGCCATAAAGGTCACAGCCATGAAAGTCACAGCCATAAAGGTCACAGCCATGAAAGTCACAGCCATAAAGGTCACAACCATGAAGGTCACAGCCATAAAGGTCACTGCCATGAAAGTCACAGCCATGAACATCCACACGGCCACACACATGACGTCATGGAACATCCTGGAACTTTCAGCGGCCGTGACTTGCCGTTGTACAGAGTTGATTGGCACCAGGTGAGTCAACCAGGTCAAACCTAGCATCAGTTGTTACCAGTTGACCAGGTTAAACCTGTATTTGACTCACAAAAATTGTTTTCCACAGCGAGCGTTTACAGTTGGCGTCGGTGGCCCAGTGGGTTCTGGGAAAACCGCCTTAGTTCTGGCACTCTGCAGGTATTTAAGGAGCAAGTCCAGTGTGTGTGTGGTCACCAATGATATTTTTACCAAGTAAGTTTGTGTGGTCACCAATGATATTTTTACCAAGTGGTCACCAATGATATTTTTACCAAGTGGTCACCAATGATATTTTTACCAAGTGGTCACCAATGATATTTTTACCAAGTGGTCACCAATGATATTTTTACCAAGTGGTCACCAATGATATTTTTACCAAGTGGTCACCAATGATATTTTTACCAAGTGGTCACCAATGATATTTTTACCAAGTGGTCACCAATGATATTTTTACCAAGTGGTCACCAATGATATTTTTACCAAGTGGTCACCAATGATATTTTTACCAAGTGGTCACCAATGATATTTTTACCAAGTGGTCACCAATGATATTTTTACCAAGTGGTCACCAATGATATTTTTACCAAGTGGTCACCAATGATATTTTTACCAAGTGGTCACCAATGATATTTTTACCAAGTGGTCACCAATGATATTTTTACCAAGTAAGTTTGTATGGTCACCAAGTAAAAAAGTCTGATCAATTCTGAATGTGATGCTGATTCTGATGGTGATGCTGATTCTGATGGTGATTCTGATGGTGATTCTGATGGTGAGCGTATATTGCAGGGAGGACTGGGAGTTTCTGGTCAGGAATGAGGCCCTGGATGCTGACCGTCTGCGGGCCGTGGAGACAGGCGGCTGTCCTCACGCCGCCATCAGAGAGGTGACACCTTTTTCTTGGAGGGGGAGGAAGTAGTTCAGAATCGCCTTTCACTAAACATTTTCTGAACCCAGCCTTACAAGATCATCCTATTATGTCACACTTACCCCCCCCCCCCACAATATTTATTTAAAAAAAACTACAAGATCTTTTAAAATCTTTAACTTTGTTAAAATTAGGTATTTAGATCAAATTTAAAAACAATTTTTATAAAAACAAATTTAAAATGCAAAATTACTCTAATTTACTGTAAAACTCCAGCCCCCCCCCCCCCCCCCCTGGTAATTGGATGGCCAATTCAACATAATTTTTTTTTATCCATAAATCTATTATTTAAAAAATGGTACTGTGTGCTAACCCTAACTGATTGTTTAAATGATTTGAAATTATTGTTAATGTTAAATGATTTGAAATGATTGTTATATGATTTGAAATGCTCCAGGATTACTCATTAAACATGGCCGAAGTAAGGGATCTAACTCTCAAATTTCACCCTGACATTGTCTTCATCGAATCAGGGGGAGATAATTTGGCTGCAAACTTTTCACGTGAATTGGCAGACTACATTATCTACGTCATAGATGTAGCAGGTAAACATGGTTTCCATTTTTAATCAGTCAGTCAGTGGTAGCTTTAGATCAGTCAGTCAGTGGTAGCTTTAGATCAGTCAGTCAGTGGTAGCTTTAGATCAGTCAGGTCGTATATTGTTGGTTGCAGGTGGAGACAAAATCCCAAGAAAAGGTGGACCTGGGGTGACCCAGAGTGACCTTCTGGTCATCAACAAAACTGACCTGGCCCCGGCAGTGGGTGCAAGCCTGGAGGTAACTCTATAGATCACGTGACTCCCGTACTGGCCTACACACACTCTAGTTTAGACATCACGTGCTGGCTTACGTCTTATTTCTTACAGGTGATGCAGCGAGATTCCACCTTGATGCGACAGAACGGCCCAACAGTTTTTACCCAAGCCAAACACGGCACAGGTGTAGATAAAGTGGCACAGCACATTCTGGAGGCGCTGGGTCGACAGCGCAGGCCATTTGACGTCACCATATGACATCCTGTGTGCCATGACAAGTTTAGCTGGCGACTGTGTGGATGATGGCATGGTTGAGTGTCAGAAATGTCTGAGTGTCGCCATCAATTGCAGTTAATTAATTACAGAAATAAAATCCAATCAATTGAAACTGGTACTATTGATCAAATCATGTTTAATACAAGATCTTGTGATCATGACACAACTGATCATGTTTAATACAAGATCTTGTGATCATGACACAACTGATCATGTTTAATACAAGATCTTGAAATCATGTTTAATACAAGATCTTGTGATCATGTTTAATACAAGATCTTGTGATCATGACACAACTGATCATGAATTGAACCCTTGAGACACAAGACATTTAAGAATGGCACTGTCATTATGTAAGCAAAGATCTAGTTACACAATTCATTATGTAAGCAAAGATCTAGTTACATGTGTCATTATGTAAGCAAAGATCTAGTTACATGTGTCATTATGTAAGAAAAGATCTAGTTACATGTGTCATTATGTAAGCAATGTCCTAAACTGGACAATTTGGTATCAGACTGTGTCCTAACCATTTTACATCATGTGGTTATAATGTCCTATAAGTTGTCCTACATCATGTAGTTATAATGTCCTAAAGGTTTGTCCTACATCATGTAGTTATGTCCTAAAGGTTTGTTCTACATCATCTAGTTATAATGTCCTAAAGGTTTGTCCTACATCATCTAGTTATAATGTCCTAAAGGTTTGTCCTACATCATCTAGTTATGATGTCCTAAATCATCTAGTTATAATGTATTAAAATTGTCCTACATCCTACCATTTAATATCCTAAAAGTTGCCCAACTAAGTTTAATCAAAAGATAATAAAGTTGAACAACTGGCATGGGTACAAGTAGTCAATAAAAAAAGTTAAGGCCCGTACTAAAATTAGAATATATTCTTTGGAGGTGAGAAACCATGATATTTTATTTACAAAGTCTACAAATGCTGCCCATTTATTTACACAATTTACACATACAAAGCAAAAAAAGTTTTGATCCAAAGTGGGTTTTATAAGTTGATCAAAAATGGTTTTATAAGTTGATCAAAAATGGTTTTATAAGTTCATCAAAAGTGGGGAAGTTGATCAAAAGTGGTTTTATAAGTTGATCAAAAATGGTTTTATAAGTTGATCAAAAGTGGTTTTATAAGTTCATCAAAAGTGGGTTTTATAAGTTGATCAAAAATGGTTTTATAAGTTGATCAAAAATGGTTTTATAAGTTGATCAAAAATGGTTTTATAAGTTGATCAAAAATGGTTTTATAAGTTGATCAAAAATGGTTTTATAAGTTGATCAAAAATGGTTTTATAAGTTGATCAAAAATGGTTTTATAAGTTGATCAAAAATGGTTTTATAAGTTGATCAAAAATGGTTTTATAAGTTGATCAAAAATGGTTTTATAAGTTGATCAAAAATGGTTTTATAAGTTGATCAAAAATGGTTTTATAAGTTGATCAAAAATGGTTTTATAAGTTGATCAAAAATGGTTTTATAAGTTGATCAAAAATGGTTTTATAAGTTGATCAAAAATGGTTTTATAAGTTGATCAAAAATGGTTTTATAAGTTTGTAAGGCCATCCAAGACAGACAACAGGCACAAGGTCCAGACATGACTGGTGCTAAGGCACAAGATCCAGGCATGACTGGTGCTAAGGCACAAGCCAAATCTTCACCAGTGTGGGGAGAGGGGGGGACTAAATGTAGCTACCTTTAACAGGAAACTGGAGTAAGGCGAGTCCAAGCTGATGACAAAAATATTTACTTTTTCCTTTTGCTTGTTCCAGTAAGAAAAAAATCTTTCCGCCTTTTTCCTGTTAACGTTTTCCTGTCCAAATTTTGTACACTTTTTCCAACATCCTTAACTTCACCTCTAGTCAAGGAGGGGTGAGACAGTGAGGAGGGATGAGGTAATGAGGTGGGATGAGGTAACGAGGTGGGATGAGATAATGAGGTGGGATGAGATAACGAGGTGGGATGAGGTAACGAGGTGGGATGAGGTAACGAGGTGTCGCCATCAGAAACTAAGTCTGTTGATCCACCTCTTATTCCAGAAAGTTCCCCTAGCTGCAGATTCTCCTCAAACTGTTGCAGCAAGATTTCCTCTCTGTGTGTGGCACAATGTGGGTTGTCAGGCCCTGGGGGATGTGAGCCTAGGGATGCCAACCTAAGAGGGTTGTCAGGCCCTGGAGGATGTGAGCCTAGGGATGCCAACCTAAGAGGGTTGTCAGGCCCTGGGGGATGTGAGCCTAGGGATGCCAACCTAAGAGGGTTGTCAGGCCCTGGGGGATGTGAGCCTAGGGATGCCAACCTAAGAGGGTTGTCAGGCCCTGGGGGATGTGAGCCTAGGGATGCCAACCTAAGAGGGTTGTCAGGCCCTGGGGGATGTGAGCCTAGGGATGCCAACCTAAGAGGGTTGTCAGGCCCTGGGGGATGTGAGCCTAGGGATGCCAACCTAAGAGGGTTGTCATCCTCCGAGTCGTCTGACCCACCCTCCGAACTAGTCTGAGAGCTGTGAATGATTTTTGAATATTTTCCTGTAGCCACATTGGTAGCTGTATCAATGTTGAGGGTCTCACAAGAAAGGTTTTTGAAAATCCTGTCAGAAGAAAAAACTGTTACATAGGTGCAACATTTCAAAAAATTAATGCAACTACCCATTGGTAAGATGGAATAACTGTGGCTGTGTACAAAGCTGTTAGTGTGTACATAACAATGTGTGTGTGTGTATTTGTACACAAACCTATTTTTGGGTGCTCCTTTAAAGCTAAATATATTTTTAAGGGGGGGGGGTGCATTGTTTTTTCTGGTTTCTTTGTAATTTAAATAAACCGGGAGTGATCTCCCCTAAACTTTCTCGAATATTCTTATATAAAATAACAGGGAATGGGAACTCGGGCTATAGACATGATTTTTAATCCATTTTAAATACTTAAAGTTTTAAAAATAGAATAAAATCTCGTAGACAAATTAATTGCACACCAAGTGAACGCAAAATAAAAAAGCGCATAATAGTTAATAATATTATTATTACTTTTAAAATTTACATTAGTTTTTTGAGAAATCTGAAGTAGCGTAAAGTACTACTTCCAGTCAACGGAAATGACTCAAAATTTAATAGAAGGTAGAGAATTAGATCTTTTACTTACGTATGAAATTTCATTTATCTATCTGAAATAGTACTCAAGTTATAGGCTTTTGAAAAATTCAAAGTAGGAAAAGTACCACTTCCGGTTATCGGAAATCGCTCAAAAGTTGATACGGATCTACGATTTTGATTAAATACTTATATATGAAATTTCATCAACCTAGCTGTAACGGTACTCAAGTTATCGTGTTTACACACGGACACACACACACACACACAGACACACAGACAAGATTGCAAAATTATGTTTTTCCGTATCAGTGAGATGCAAAACGTCGAGATTTGCAAAAATCTCGATTTTTTGTTTTTGCACGATTACAAGACTTTCTCTATACTTCGTATATACGAGAAAGTAAAAACAAGTGGAATGAAAATATAAAAAATACAAAAATTACATTTTGCCAAAAAGTCCAGATTGTTTTTTTATAACAAATTGTTATAAAAAATTTTTTTGTCAGAGTACTCTTCCAAAGTAATGCATAACACAGACATACATACATACACACACACACGCATATATATATATATATATATATATATATATATATATATATATATATATATATATATATATATATATATATATATATATATATATATATATATATATATATATATGCTACTAACTGCAGTTCTAATATAAATGAAAGTGAAAGCAATACTGACACATTGAGTTTAAAGCCAGCAACAATCTCTGGTGTCTGACTGGATTCACCATCCACTGAGATTCTAATTGGCTGAGCTGGCTTGGATGATTGATTCGCCATGTAAAAATTGGCGCAGGATTTCATGTAATTAATAAATCCTTGATAGTTGAACCCACTGCTTGCTGGGGCGGACCCAGGGGTGATGGGCAGCGGCTGCTGACATGGTGGATCACCCTCAGGTTCCTGCACTTCACTGGATGGTAAATGCTGGGTAGTTTCCCTTGGCATTGCATTGTTTGTATCAGTACCTGCTAGAGAAGGGAAGACAATCAATATTAGATAAGATGGGATAATAAGTTCTTTTCTGTATTCATTTAATTAAATCTTTGGTTCTTTTATGTGTACAATTGAAATCTTTGGAAACTGGCAAAAAAAAAAACACCATTAGGTTCTGGCACAATTCACCAAAACATTACCAAAATTCTGTGTACACTTTCTGTGTATGTTGAATACAACAGAAAAAGAATTTTCATTTTTTTCTCCGAAATATAAACTAGATACAATAAAAAAAGAAATATTTGACGAGAAACAAAATGAAACTAATTTGGTGTTATGACATAAATGACAAGAAAATGACCTGGAGTGAGATGGCCTGGAGTGAGATGGCCTGGAGTGAGATGGCCTGGAGTGGTCTGTGCCATCCCTGAGCGCAGCATGGCCTCAAAGAGAAACTTTTCCACAACAGCGTGGCCTCCCTTGTGTGCCAGGTCTAATGCAGTGCACCCATTGCTGCTGGACAGGTTGATCTGAGCGCCATGGCGACACAGGCGCTCCACAACCTCCAGCTGACCCTTTCTAGATGCCCACATCAAGGCTGTACAGTTGTACCTGTCCCTGGCGTTGGGATCACTGCCCTGATCCAACAAGTAGTCCACCACTGCCTTATGTCCACCCTCAGAGGCCCACATCAGAGCAGTGCAGCCATTAGTATTTTTTTCATCAATCTTAGCTCCTGCCTTATGAAGGAGCTCAACAGAGCTTAGATGCCCATAAGCTGCTGCCCACACAAGGGCAGTAAAGCCATCCTTACATTTGACATGAACTTTCCCTTCCCACTGAATGATGAGAGATACAGTTGAGGCGTGACCACACACAGACGCACACATGAGCGCTGTCCAGCCTGTTTTGCTAGTCCTGTTGATGTCAGCGCCGTTCATGAGCAAGAGTTGCAGAGATTCATCCTGACCAGCAAAAGCTGCTGCCATGACAGCAGTCAAACCATCCACGTCCTGGGCATCAATGTCCACACAGGTGGGGCCGTGGTCCAGCAGTAGCTGGCCAGTTGTCAGGTGACCCCTGTAGCCGGCAGCCATGAGTGGGCTCCAGCCTGAGCAGCTGGCAACATTGACATCGGCATTGTGCTGCAGCAGAAGCTGCACGACTGCGTTTTGTTTTTCACTAACAGCGTGCATCAGCAATGTCCATCCTTCTTCATCTCTGGCATTCACAGCACAGCCAAGGTCAAGGAAAAATCTCAAGGTCTCTACTTGTCCTCCAAAGACAGAAAAGGTCAAGGCTGTCCAACCTTTATTGCTGGCTAGGTTGATATCTGCTGTTTTCTTGTATAAGACTTCAACGATGTCCTTGTGTCCTTCATATGCAGCCAGCATCAAGGCTGTCACACCGTCTACATCTTGGATGTCAACATGACAAGGTTTGGTGAGAAGAGCTGTCACCACTTTGAAAAAGCCCCTTTGTGAGGCATACATTAAAGCCGTGCGTGAAGCATTGCATGTGGCATTGACGTCAGCCCCAGACCTCAACAAATCCTTGACAATCCTGGCATGGCCTTTGTTGGCAGCAGAGATCAAAGCTGTACAGCCATTCTTTTTTCTGCTGTTGACATCATTGACTCTAGGCAGAAGATAGCGCACTGTTTCCCTGTGTCCACTGACTGAAGCCAGTATCAGAGCTGTCTTACCCAGGTCATTGTGGGCATTGACGTCAGCCTTACGCTGACACAAGACTTTAACCACCTCCACATGTTTCTTGTGACTTGCCATCATGAGAGGAGTCCAGCCATTGGCTGTCCTGGCGTTGATGTCACTTCCTCTTGTACACAGTGCCTGTACGATGTTAAGATGCCCCGCCCACGCTGCGCACATAAGGGGAGTCACTCCAAAGCTGTTTGGAAGATTTGGATCAGCATTGCGCCTCAATAAAAGTAAGACAAGTTCATACCCAGCGTGGAAGGCTGCAAATATTAGTGCTGTGTTTGTGTTCTCATCTTTGATGTTGGCAGGGATGCCTTCATCTAGAAGGGCATTGACAGTCTGCAAATCTTTTTTTTTAACTGCATCAAACAGCTTGCAGACAGCCCCGCAGGCAGCCCCACAGGCAGCACCACAGGCAGGCCCACAGGCAGACCTACTGTGCTGGATCTCATCCATCTAAGACTGCTTAAGCTTTTGATTGCCTAAAGAAGAAATGGTAAAAAAAATTTTAAATCTATTTTGAAAGCTCTTTAAACTTTATGTGTTGAGCCTGGGTCCATATTAAAATAAAATTCATTGATCAAATACTATGAAATGTTAGCATGTACTTTGTGAGAATGAATTAAAAAATGTCGATTAATAAATAGTTGATTAACTTTGATTAAGCATTATATCCTAGAGGACTTGGATTATACAATGGTCAGAGTTTGCTAGCTCCTAGTCACCAGGACATTCAACAGAAAGCGAAATAGCTTGGTAGTAGGTAGTCCAAACTGGCGAAAAAGTGCGTTTTAGGGTCAGTTTTTGCGGTTTTCAAAAAAAAAATTTCACTACTTCTAGTTGTCCTATAAGAATAAAAATTATATGTCAATAAAGTTTAAGTCTTTATCTGTCGTAATCTGGTATTTTTATATCTGTAACACATGTCTGAATGTGTTTTATATTTGTTTGAAAAGTATCAGTTACGTCAACAAATTTCACCGTTTTGCGTGTACCGATCGACCCCACACTGTTTTATTTGGTCGCGGCTTCGCGACGAAGCATCGTAGAAGCATAATCTTAATGTCATTTTAAAGATCGAATTCTAGGCTGTCATTTGATGTATAAATTGAAAAAATAACTTGTTTATTTCATTTAAAAAATACAGATTTTAAACTTTAAATGACGATATATACACGGAAACAAACTAATTCTGTTTCAATTTTTACACCGATGTAAAGTTCAGTTTTATAACTACTTTGTGTTGTAAATTCAAGTATTTCTGATTTACGGTCGCGAAGCCGTACCCCCAATAAACATATAACCCTCGAGTCGACTTTCAGCCCCGAGTAAGTTGCTCGCCGAACGGTTTTAAAGGTTGAGGTTAATTGCTTATACCAGTCTCCGGGATTTGACTACATCCGGCATCGGCCAATGAAATACGCGCTTTCTAAGCGTTTTGGTAAGGCGTGACGTCATCAGCGCGGTGTGTCAAAACAGCGGTTTTGAAGCCTAAATTTAATTTATAGTTCAAATCGCAACGCGTTTTTTCAAAATGAGGGAAAAATGACCCTTTTAAAAAATGGAGATAGTCGTTTTTTTCAATGATGACGCCACAAAATCTCAAAATATTGACGTCCGAAAAAGCAATCATTGTTAAATATTTGCCTTTTCGTGCACTAATATTTTGTCAAGTCTACCAAAACGCTTATAAAGTGCGTGTTTCATCGGCCGATGCCGAAAGTATGTAAATAATACAAAGAAAACAGACAATAAATTTATTTTGATCATATTTTATTGCGTATTGAAGTAAAGCATGCAAACAAAGTTGTCAACAGCACACCGCGGAGGGTTGCGCGGCACGTGTTCCAAATTAGGTCAAAGCACGGATCTAGGCTAGCCCGCGCAGCTAAATGCCAAAATATAATTTCTTAGCGTAAAGCCACAAAGGAACGTTAACTTTATAGACAAGGGTGTTAAATGCTGCATTGTTTTAAATTTGCATTATCTAGAACGTGGGGATATTGGTATGTAATTAATTTTAAACTGTAACCGATCGATGGCAAAGTGGTCAAGGCGGGAAAATGAGGTCACGTGATGTCTCAAAAGTTTAGATGGACACCCGACATCTAAATCTAGTATTTCGACGAACGCGGCTTAGCGGCTGAATTTATTGATTAAACGCTTTGATGGAGGTATAGATAATTAATAAAAAGGAAAAAAAATTATCCTACTTACAAAATACGACATCATATCCATGCAGAAAAAATTATTCCAACGCCATTTATGAATATTAATTAGATCACCACATGACCCTCGAAGGCTCAGACGTGTAGGTCTAGGGCTCTAGCTGTAACACACATTCGGCCCGGGATGTTAATAGTAATAATATATTTTATTGGTTTGGGGCCTATGCCTAATTAGTTGGCCCTGACATAAGGATAACCTTTTTAAAATATTATTTGTAAATGAAAGTGGGTAAGGGTTAAGAAAATGTGAACACATTTTGTTTTATGTATGGCTATACGTTTAACAAGAAACATGTTTGAAAAGGAGAGCATTTATTTTTAAAATTTGACGAGTGCTGTGTGTTTTTTATTCTCACCTACTTAAAGTGACGTAAGCAAATTTGCATATGGCCTTGACCTTGTACTGCTTTGTAAAGATTCTCAAGCACCAAAAAAGGCCTGATTTATGTTATTAATACGAAAAAAGAAAATACATGGACATATTTATAACCACGATTATCTACGCGGTCAAACGATTTTTGTTACATTTTATTGGGATTGGAATTTAATAATCAATATACACGCAGTGGTCATGGAAAGTTTAAAAGATGTCACTTTTTTGACGAAGTTTACCTCCTCCTCCCCACAGTTTACAATAAAAATTGCGACCCCCCACCCCCCGTCTCTGAAATGTGACGATGTTTATGGACGATTCCTATGTCCCACGTAGAAGGGGGGGGGGGGGGGGAATTAGTAAAATATATGTATGTTCTATAAAGTATTATAGATCGTTGTCTATTATGTTCGGGTCGGGGAGGGGTGGTAGGCTGTTTAAAAAATAATAAGGTGTCTCAGACCTGGCCACGCTTGGTGGGGGGGGGGGGGGGGGGGGGAAAGGGGGTGTATCCAACCCCCCCCCCCCCCCCCCCACAAAGTACAGAATAAAAATTAAATGTTGACCATTGTAAATAATCTATTTTAAGCATTCTTTATCTTCCATACAAAAAATTGTCTGAAATAAATCCTAATTCAGATATGCATGTTTGCCAGAATACACATATCCACTCCTCTTACGGTAACTTACCCCAGCCACAACACAATTGGGTATTTTAAGGAATGTTTATAATTATAATTTGGGGTACTTGTATAATTAATTTAAAAATTAATCAAACTATTCAACTATAAAATAGACATCTGAATAAAACAATCAAATTAATTATGTTAATCACTGGATTAACATAATTAATTAATCTGGTCATGATAATATTTAAGTTCAAGAAGTCTTTTCAAGACAAAAAAAACTTTAAAAAAACACACCTTATAAACGAACCCACAAGTGCATTAACGAAGTAATTAGCATAATTAACATATTGTAATTAAGCTAATTAATTAATTAGCACTAATGATAATGAAGGGAGATAGTTTTTTTTTGTTATGGCACCTCTCCAAATCCTATTATTTTCATAATCACTATGCAAAAAGTATTTATGTTACAAAAACTACACATCTCTGTTCTCTCGGTGCCTAGCGCGACCTATTTAGGCCAAAGTGAGTTTGTTTATGTTGACGTTTTATTTTTAGACTTCACGGTACAACGCAGATCATTGGCCGGAAGAACATATTGTCAGACACTGGTATAAGTAATCATCGTTTTATCGATTTATTTAAAACAAAAGACACTAAATTTTAAGGACTAATGTGATTAATTTTTTTATTTTCTGTTGTGCACTCTGATTCTGATTCCCCTGCTGAATAATGTGAAATGGTCTGCGCCAGTCTCCTTAATAAAATGTACCAGATCAATTTTTAGATGGTTGTGCAATTTATTAAGATTGTACATGTTGTGACTTAGTTTTAAATGTTATATTAGTTGTAAGTGTAAGTAGTACTAGTAGTATTTCTCATTATTTATTTATTTTATATGCATATAATAGTAACAATGAAGGACAGTTAAGTTGTCCTATAGGATGTTGAGAACCACAGTATGGCATCTTCATCATTGGATATCTTAACCATTGTGGGACAAGCAACGATTATTTCAAATTTCATTCAGTAGAATTACTCTTAAAAATATATATAAAAAATATAAATTACTTTTAACAAAAAGGTGTTTTCAGGCTTTTTCATATGTTTCCAGTTATAGTCATAGGACAAATAGTAGGCCTACACAATAGGCTAGTAGTAAATTTAATTATATTTTATTAATCACTAAATCAATTGTTCGTTCCATAGCTGGAGACATTTACGGTGGCCTATCCAGAACTTTCCTTACAAGGGAAGGGAAGAAGGCCAAGACCCCACTCCCCCCTCCCCCCTACAATTCCCAAAACATATTACTTACTCTTGATGCTCCACAAGATCAAGGTTGAGGGAAACAAGACGTACAAAGATGTTCCCCCAAAACTGTTCCCCCAAAGCAGTTATCAGGTTTGAAAAGAAACCAAAGCATGTGGCATCAACTGCTGCATCACTTGTAGGCATCACGTCTTTATTAAACTACATTACATTACATTTACTCTACTAAATTTTGATTCTGTTTCTCCTGCACTAGATAACTGTGGTATTTTTTAAAATAATATTTTAACTCATGTGATTTTTGAAAATAATTAACACATTTTTCCACGTCGATGTTACCAACACAATAATTTTAGAGTTATTCCAAAGCAAAAAAAAAAAAAAAAATTGAATTTTTTTTTTTTTATGAAAATAAAAGTGACCAAAACGCATTTTTGTCATTTTCAATTATTTTTTTACCTTAGAAAGACTCATTTTAGATGTTTAAAAAATATGGGTTCTCAAAAATGGCACTTTTTGAAAATCAGTTTTTTACCAAATTTTGCTTTTTTAAAAATCGCATAACTTTTTTATTTATTGAGATATTTTTATAAAATTTGTGGCATAGACCTTACAATTAAAAGTTCTTTCATGACATACTCACTCCAGAAGTCTGCAATCAATAGTTAATTTCAGTTTGGACTACCTATTGGTAGGGTATGCTGCAAGGATAGACCTAAAGACAACACAGTGATAGACCTAAAGACAACACAGTGATAGACCTAAAGACAACACAGTGATAGACCTAAAGACAACACAGTGATAGACCTAAAGACAACACAGTGATAGACCTAAAGACAACACAGTGATAGACCTAAAGACAACACAGTGATAGACCTAAAGACAACACAGTGATAGAC